AGTACCATGGACTGCTAGGAAAACAAACAGATTCATCCTGGAAAGTGTTAAACCGGGTGGCTCCTTGGAGGCAAGGATTCTGAGGCTCCATCTAACAGACTTTGGACATGTTGTGAGGAGAGACCGGTTCTTGGAGAAGAACATCATGCGTGGGAGGGTGGAGGGACAGCGCAGGAGGGGAAGGCCCTCTATGAGGTGGATTGATTGAGTGACTGGGATAATCGAGATGGGAGTGTCAGAGACAGTGCAACTGGCACAAGACAGAGCAGAGTTTAGGGCTGTTATACATAGCATCGCTATGAGTCGCAAGTGACTCGATGGCACATAACAACAACGACGACATAATAAGAACTCTGGTGGTAAGTAGCTGCAATGCCAATACAAAGGTGGTGGTTGTTGTTGTTGGGTGCCATCAAGTCACCTGTGACTCATAGCGACCTTATGTAAAACAGCTGTATAGTCTGCCCTGTCCTGAGCCAGGCCCACTGACTTCAACACACCTAAGCCCACTGCCACAGCTACTGTATAAATCCCTCTCCTCTGGGGTCTTCCTCTTCTGTGCTTTCCCTCCACACTTCCAACATGATGTCCTTCTCCAAGGACCAGTCCCTCCTGGCCATGTGCCCAAAACAAGAGATGGAGCTTCAAAATCCTAGCCTCCAAGGTTTTCTTGGTGATCCATCATAGGTTCAAGACTCTTCTCCAGCACCATAATCCACCAGTTGCTCCAGGGAAGAAAGGTGGGCAATCTCTCCTAGTGTGATTTACAGCCTTTGAAAACCCACAGGAGGGTCATATATGAGTCTGTTCTGACTCAAGAGCATGAACAACAACAATTTATAATAAATTGTCTGTACAGGTTGATATGTTAATAACAGAATTAATCTCCTATTCTTCCCTTCACCTTTTGTCTTCTAAGTCTAATAAAACCAGCCGTCTTCTTTTCCTCTAAATTAGAAAAGTCACAAATATATGGAAAACACAAACGGGAAATGTATGGAAAATATAAATCAGAAAAGTACAAACACCAAAATCACCCTTCACTTCTTCTTCCAAAGATCCTGTTACGATAACACTTTAGTGTATGCTTCCTTTGTGTTTCCTATGCATACACGAGATTTACAAAAATGGGATTTTTCTGGCACACACTATTTTATAATCTGACAAAGATGGCAATCAACTCCTGTACGATTTACTGCCTCTGAAAACCCAACGGAGGGTCAGCTACGAGTCAACTCCAACTCAATGGCACATAACAACAGCATTTTAAACACATTACTCGTTGTTTTACAAGTTATTATTCTACTTCAACCTTCCTTTTAACTTGGTTTCCATTTAACAAAGAAAGAATTTATTTAACCAACAGCTTGTCAGATAGCTATATTCTTACCAGTCTTTAAGATGTAAGGAGCTGTGCTACCAATCAAAAGGCATGCAATTTAGTGCCTCTCAAAATGTACCAGCAGGTTCAGCTATGGGTCAGTTTTGACGCAACAGTACATAACAACTTTGATAAATTATTGAGAAGATACAAATGATCACTTGAGTTAGACATACCTTAGTCCTCTAAGTGACATCTCCGTCTATTATACATAAGGCTTCTGAGTCAGAGTTTACTCAATAGTAATTAACTACTCTTACAAATGTTACAGGCAGCACCCTTTACTTACTGTAACTATTGGATATAAATGCCTAAAAGTCAGAGAGACTCTACTTTTTTTTAAACTCCTAGCAGCACTATGTTGTTGTTGTTGTTTAATGCCGTCGAGTCGTAGACGACTCATAGCAACCCTATGAACGAACAGCTTGAGCACTGTTCGTACATAGAGTTTCCGGAGGCAAGCCATTTTGGAAGTGGATGCCGCTCCTGCTTCCAGGCTTGATTTAGTCGGGAAGCTCCAGCAAACACTGTTCACCATGGGTGCCCATTACCACGACTGGCAGCACTATGTAGGTCTACCTATTTGTCATCAACACTATTCCCATTGCCGTAGAGTTGGAACAGACTCATTGTTTACCCCTCAGTGGGCTTTCAGAGGCTGTAAATAGCTTCGAATGAGATTGCTCATCTTTTCTCTTCTGAGCCACTGGTGGCTTCAAATCACCAGCTGCGGTCTTCAGGTTAATAGTGCAACTGTTACCATCAGAGCTCCCTCCATCAACACTAGATTTTAAAACTGAGGAGGGGATCATTGCCAACTTCATAGGCAAAAAGTAGGGGAAGGAAGTGTAATATTTCACTTACTTTGGCACAAACCAAGTGCTCAGGTTCAGGTGGAACCCAGACGGAGAAATGCTTAGAGTACCAGTATCAATCTGAATCATCTCAAAGACAAAAAGGTTGCGTTTCCATGGTTTCACTAGATTATTGTTACTGTAGAACCTATCTTTTCATCACCAATCTGAAATGATCATTTCATAATATAACTTCTTATATACACTGAACTTGGCCTCTATATTTCCTGCTCTAGTCCTGAATATACAGCCTTCCCCTTTAATCTATACACATCAGCTAAAAAATAATGTTCTTGACTGGATCCATTGGCATTACTCTGGATTAAAAAAAAATAAAGAAAAGTGGAAAAAAGTCAAACAGACTGTAGAATATGCCTGGGGAGAAAAACAGGAGCAGCTGGATTTTAAACCACTTCACATACCGAGAGGTGGTAGTCTCCTCCTCTTGTGTCTCTTTTGAACAGGAACTTCTGGATGCTCTGTGGGTTCTTGAATCGGTGGCTCACTGTCTTCAGACGGCCGACGCGCAGCAGCCTGAACAAGACCATCCAAAGAGGTACTGGCTACAGCAAAACAAAGTGGAAAACTGGGACAGCTGGAGTAGACAGCACCAAGTTTTAAGAAAATGAGGGAAGAAGAGATTTTCAAATTTCTTACAATCTCTTATTCTCTTTTATACTTGATTATGCCCCATATTTTTATTTTCTTGCCCTTCACCTATATAACTTTGAGATTCAATTTGAGAAAATAAATTAGCAAACAAGGAAGGCTGGAGAGGAAAAGAAACAAGTGAGCTAGAAAAAAAGCAAAAGAAAAGGGGAGACAATAGCTGTAAACATAAGAGATACTGCTGCTATAAAGATCTCTCTTACTTGTCTTATATCTGAGGAATTTCTATGGATTTCCATACAGTTTACCCTTAATTAATAAATTAACACAGTCTAAAGCCTTCATTGATAACTAAGTAACACCAATTAACTATAAGGCCATTTACTTCATACTGGTGAGGAGAGGTGGGCAAGTTCAAAGCACCAATATTTTGGTCACAAAACCCTCTATGAGATGGATTGATTCGGTGACTGGGGTAATCGGGATGAGTGTGTCAGAGGCGGTGCGGTTGGCGCAGGATAGAGCAGGGTTTAGAGCTGTTGTGCATAGGGTCGCTATGAGTCGGAAACAACTCGATGGCACATAACAACAACAACAAGGCCAGCCCTTAGTCATTGAATGACCATAACTCATCATTTTTTTTAAATGAATTTTTTAATAAATATTTTTATGCAATAATAAAATTTTAAAATATAAAACTAAGCTACATAGAATACTGCATTACTGTCCAAAAGTAATATAATCTGGAACAAGGAGTGCATTGTGAAGTGGGCTAGGGGAGGGAGAGGGAGTAAAAATATGTGCAACAATCAATTTTTTAAAAAGTAAGGAAAAAAACCCAACCAAACAAAAAAATCCTAAACTAGAAAACCAAGGTTCTATTCAAATATATTTAGTGAATTGTCTACTGGTTGAAAAAACACACACCAAACCCAACTATGATAAAATAAATAAGAACTTTGTTATAGAATATGCATTTATAATACTGCATACTATAATTGTGTATTATATAGCATATCAATTTAAATTGTATATGATAAATGTTTAACTGATTTGCATCTTCTTGGTAAACGTGATATATCGTGGCATCACTTAAGAAAGGAGCTCGTGAGTTGTACAGATGGTTAATGTGCTTAGCAGTTATCCAAAAGGGTGGCAGGTCTATCTTCCCCTTGAAGGAGCACCCTGACTGGATCTTCTCCAAGATAGAGCTATTTGGTTTTTTGTTTTGTTTTACTTTACCGTTATTCCACAGAGTAGTTATTAAAGTTTGTCAGACATAGCAAAAGAAAGCAGAGAACTATAGTCACTTAAAGGACCAGAATCAAGTCATGTAAAAGGATTTCTAATTTTATGTATGGACAAATTACAGTACCATGTACAACTTGTCAGGTTATGAGGGAACTTCACTATAGGAAACAGGGAAAATCATTTAAATAGGCATAATCATTTTATACAAGACATTATATACCTAAACAAAATTTGAATTATCAAATAATTTTAAATACTGTTTCCAAGTCAAGCACGGGTATAAGTCCTAAGAATGGGAAGAAATTTATTTATAAAATTCACTACTTGATCAGTGGTAAGAACCAAGAAATAATGAATTAAGGGAGCTGTGGTGGTCTAATAGCAAGAAGCTGGGCTGCAATCCTTAAGGTATGAGGTTTGAATCCCACCAGCTGCTCCGCAGAAGATGGGAAATCACCTCCTATGTGATTAATTGCCTCTGAAAACCCTCCAGAGTGCTGGCTATGGGTCGGTTTTGACTTGACGGTACACAACAACAGAAAAATAAGTCAGTTTATACAAGGGAATGATCAGACTTAACTGCTGAGTGTTAGGCTAAAAAGATATCCTTCTGTATATTTTTCAATTGTTGTGCTGTTATTGATTGCCATCAAGTAGAGCACAACTCATAGTGACCCTATGAAAAAACAAAAGGCCTGAAGCATTTTTATAACTGTTATCATTTATCAAAGTTCTTAGAGTTTCTAGAGGCATATTGTTTAGGAAGTGGATGCCACTTCTGACATAAATTCAACCAATGGAGTCTAAGTAAAGAGCACTGTGTTAAGACTCTGTTGAATTCAAAACAACTATGAGATATCATCTCACCCCAGTCAGAATACCAAAATTTAAGAGAACAGCAAACATCAAATGATAGCGAGGTTGTGGAGACCGGAACCCTCATTCACTGTTGGTGGGAGTGTAAAATGGTGCATCCACTGTGGATGGTGGTATGGCACTTTCTCAAAAAGTTGGAAATAGAGATACCATTGGACCCAGCAATTCCATTACTAGGAATAAACCCCAAAGAGACCATAACTGCCACCCAAGCAGATATATGCGCACCCATGTTTATTGCGGCTTTGTTCACAATAGCAAGGAGTTGGTAACAACCTAAGTGTCCATCAACAAATGAATGGATAGAGAAGCTGTGGTATATTCACACAATGGAATACTAAGCTGCAATGAAAAACAAAGAACTCACACAATATTATTCAAAATGGGTGACCCTGGAGGACATTATGCTAAGTGAAAGATCTCAGTCACAAAAAGACAAATATTGCATGGTGCCACTGTTGTAAAATAGGACTGACATCAGAGGTGGGGGGAGACTGAGAAAGATGGGATACATAATGTATACTGCATTGAAACAGATGAGAGAGAAAACTGTTTAAAAGGGATATGTGATTAGGTATTACTGTCATGACAGGAGTCCAGAACGAAGGCTGCATAGTGGAGTGGACCTGGGGGGAGGGACTGTAAAACAATGAAAGAATTTTTCCTTTACTTTTCAGAGATGAGTGCACTGGGTGGGGGGGAAGGGTGGGCAGGGAGAAAAGTGCAACAATGAATGAATGGAAAGCCAGTCTCTGTAAATTTTCATTAAAATTAACACACACACACGACTCTGATGAATTATAACTTCCAGAGTGCTGTCACTGTCTTGCTTATTTTACTACATTTCTTTGTTGATTTCTTTATCAACTTTTCTCTTTTTTCTTTTCCCTTTCCTAGTTCCTCTCTCCTCTCCTGTCCTACACACTGATGTAATCTGCTTTGTTAAAGCCTTCCTGGTTCCAAGCAATTTCAAGAGCCAAAAGTTGTATTCTGGGTGTAAAGATCATGTTTTCCTCAGTGTAATCCAGAAAGCAATCTAGTCACAGCCAAGTCCCACAGTTAAAAGTTTTCTACAATCCCCTCAAATTTCAAGCAGAATGGTCTTCACTGTTCTTAAGCTGATTCTCATTGGAGCTTTTTTGGGCCCAACACATCTATTTTAAATTTCTCAAATTATTCCCAGAACTCAGAGCAGATTTGGTCACCCACTTTGGTGATTTTCAGGTACTATGGGTCAACTAATGAATGCATTTGTAGAAGACTTCAGCATGCTGCATTGCTCTCCTGGCCCAAACCATCTCAGTGTCAGGACTGTCACCCTAAGATTCTGCTGAAAGAGCATATACCATGGACATAAGCTCCTCCGAAACCGGCTCAGTACATGTTCTAGTCGCCTCTGTCCTGCAGCCCACTCTATCTGTTCTTTTGCTAGTCCGTGGATATTCAGTACTCTTCTCCAATACCACAACCCAAAGGCATCGAATGTTGTTCTGTCATCTTTAGTTACTGTTCAACTTTCTAATTCATAACAAGTCATTGAAAAGAAGTCCCTCTTAAAATCATAGTGCCTTTGTAAATCTAAACCTTTTACACATTTTTGGTGTGTGTTTAGTTCTGTCTGTATCCCATAAGCCATTCTCCATCTCTAATTCTTCATTCATATCCGTCTCTAATTCTTTTTTTCTCTAAAAATGTGAAGATGGCACAACACAGAACAGCATTTTGTTCTGTCACACATACAGAGCCAAATAAATGGCAACTATTAACAACTATACAGAAATATACTCCTCTATTTTTCAGACAACAATAGCCAATGTAAGTATCTAATCAGCTATAAGGAATGAACACCTACAAGGTTTAAGAAAGTTTATCCAGTAGTTGTAGGCAGGACTAATTAGAGTTGGGAAAAGCTAACAGATCTGTGTTGGAGGCTATTCCAATAGATCCAGTTAGAAAGGAAAGGTGCTAAAGCAACTACAGCTGCACCTGCAGAGTTGAAAAAAGAAAAATGCTAAAGAGTCATCATGGAAGAAAAAAGCATATGAAAGGTCACAGCAAAGGGAGGAGAAAAGGGGGCAGTTAAAGGTAACACTGAGGTTTTATGTCTTCATGACCAGAAGAATGGGAGTGCCATTAACAGTAACATATGAGAAACAAAAACTGCCTTATTGAAGTCATGCTGACTGTGAGTTAATGGTGAGATATCCTGAATCATTATTGGATAATTAAAACAAACACACAAAAAAAGAATTCACAGAACCTGCTCATTACTGGAGTTCTAACGCATGGATGATGTGGTCCTGCTTTCGGATACATTCTTGCCCTAATGTAGAGTTTCTCTGACTGAAATAAAGACTCTAAGAACTTGGTGTCTACTTAAATCTAGGATCATGTTTGAGGGTCTGGAACACACACAACTTAAGACAGCTTACATTATCTAGTAATGATGGACTTCAAAGACTCTGAGAACATCATGAAAGTAAAATCTTAGATGGTAGAGCCAGTCCTTCCAAGGTGCTCCTCAGGCTGCCTGCCCACTGCCTTGTCCCTCACTATCACCAGGAATCCCTCTCCTTCAACTATCTGCCTTCTTACTGACCTCAGCACAACAGCTGATTTGGGACTGCTGGAGGCTTTCCTCTACCTTGTCAGTGATGTTTATTACACCTGAAATCCTGGACAAACCTCTATGCCCACACAATAATGTCTTACCTAGTGTAGTCTTTGGCCTGGGCTTCTTTTTCTTGGGACGATTAAGTGGAACATCATCTACAAACAAAAACAAATAGAAAAAGAATCCAAAAATTCAATGCAAAAAAGAGTCAGAAGATAATTTTCCCTGACGAAGTCTTTACTCCTCTTCTCTCAGCCCAGACAACTTTACCTGTGGGGAGTAAGGTAAGAAATCAACACTGTCAGAGCCCACAGTAATAAACCAATGACACTGCTTAGTGCTAGAAACTGTGACAGAAAAAGAGTGGTCATCATAACTGCCATCCAAGCAGATATATGCACACCCATGTTTACCGCAGCTTTGTTCACAGTAACAGAACTGGAAGCAACCTAAGTGCCCATCAACAAACAAATGGATAGAGAAGCTGTGGTATATTCACACAATGGAATACTAAGCTGCATTGAAAAACAAAGAACTCACGCAATATTATTCAAAATGGGTGACCTGGAGGACATTATGCTGAGTGAAATATCTCAGTCCCAAAGGGACAAATACTGCATGGTGCCACTGTTGTTGAATGGGACTGACATCAGGGTTGGGGTAAGACTGAGAAAAAACTGGATAAATTATGGAGGTGATATATGACTGAGTATTATGGTTAGCACAGGAGTCCAGAATTAAGGTTGCATAGAGAAATGTACTCAGTGCGGGGATTGGAGAAGATAGGGTAATTGTATACCAATGAAGGAATTTTTTTTTCTTCTTTTTCTTTTCAAAGAGAGGAGCGAACTGGTGGGGAGGGGTAGGCAGGGAGAAAAGTGCAGCAATGAATGACTGGGAATCCAAAATCCCTGTAAATGTTTATTAAAATTAATAAAAATAGGGAAAAAAACATTAAAAGAAAAAAAAGGAATTATGTTGGAGCTATCCTTTGCTTCTAATGATTCACTTAGACAAATTTCTTTTTTTTTTTTTAATTTTTGTGTGCATGTACCGTCAAATCAGATCTGACTGGTACTGGAGGAGATTGCCCCTCCTTCCCCGGCAGAGCATCTGGTGGATCTGAACCGTGCGCCTCTGGGATTGTAGTTGCAGCTCCTTGCCACTAGGCCACCAGAGCTCCCCTGAGACAAATTTCTTAAAGAAATTAAACATGTATAGTTGATCTTGTATAAAAAAAAAAAAATAAGAGTGGTTATTCTGAGTGTTGTCTAGGACTGGTTTACTCTGGAGTCAAAACATTGAAGGAGTCAGTGAGTTAACTTCAACTTTTTCTTGTGGTGACAAGTGAGAAAGTCTTGGATTAAGATTGGTAAGTAAAGGATGGAATCAGTGCAATCATAGGTCATTGAGAAATAAGTAAAAGATAAATCACCCTAGATCATTGCCACAAACCACAGGGTCTTTGCATGACTAAAAAAGAAACTCGTATGCTATTAAGTTACTAAGATCGAGGTTTGAATTCACCAGCCGTTCAGTGGGAGAAAGATGGGCTTGTCTCCTCCCATGCTATTTACTGCCTCTGAAAACAGCTAGAGGGTCAGCCATGAGTCAGTTCTGACTCGATGGTACAAAACAATAACTACTATATAACTCTAATCCTATCATGACTAATGAGACATGGAAAGGTACAGTAACACTTTCAGTAGGTGTAAGGGTATTTACACCTCTAGAAGTCACCTAGTATTATACCATAAGCACTAAAATATGATAGTCACAGGAAACTATTTATAATAAAGGTACTGTTTGGGGGGGTGAGGGTGGGAAGACACTTAGTGGTATTACAGGAAGCTCTGGTGGTCTAAGGGTAAGGAGCTATGACTGTCAACTCCAAGGCAGTTGCTTTCAAATCCACTGGCTGCTTCACAGGAAAAAGATGAGCAATCTCCTCACCTGCAATTTACAGTCTCTGAAAACTCATTGGAAGGTTGGCTATGGGTTTGCTCAACGGCATTTAACAGCAAGGAGTACTTATTATACTATTCAGATTTAACTTTCAAGAAAAATATTATGAAGTAATTTTTCAATACCAAATATGATATTTAGAAAGTTTTACATAAACAATGAACTAACTCACCTGGATCAGCACTTTTACGTGATATTGGTCATAATGAATCAGCAGAACAAAGACAAAACATTATTCATTAGAAACCTATTACACAGCCAAACTGGAAATTACAAATTTAAAATAAAATTACCTTTCATACAATGTCTAGTTTACAAGTTACTATTATTTACCAACAGCAACCTGTTTAATAGAGTTGCTAATAAAATAACTCCAGTATGTGTTAAGGACCTACAGATACATTCCCTTCTATTAGTAAAGAGGATTAAGTAGATTAAGAACTTTTATTTTTTTCTTAGTGATGAAACCAGCTTAAACTGAGGACACAATTCTAGCAAAGAGAAGAGCTCAGAATTATCATAAAAATTCCCATAAAAATTCTAATAAACAAGATATTTGAAAACATTCTAAATAGATGCATTACTATAACATGTTAATAGTCAAGCTTTTAAGAGAAAATATTTCATTATAATTCTTATCCTAATGATTCAAAGATTTCCTACCTTTAAAAAGCTTTTTGTAAAAATTAAGGAAGTACTGCTTAAATAACTAAAATCCTGCAATAGTACTAGTCATCTTTTTTTTTACTCTAAAGAACAATAATGATTAAAGACTTTTTTTTTTACCTTGGCACAGGTGGAAGGGCACGTGGAGGACGCTGGAGAAGGGGAAAGAGAAAATTGCACATAAGTAAAAGCCTAGGTCATCTGTAATTCATGTACCTCAATGCTGTGAAATCAGTATTAAAAAAACACCAAAACACAAACTTGGTCAAATACCACAGGAAAATATATTGTATCAGACTAGTATTCTCAAATGTGAAAAACTTTGTTCATCAGTAAAACCTAGAAGGTACAAATGAGCATGAGATGGGCTTTTTAACATTATTTTACCATTTCTGAATTTTATCTATAATTCCTTCCTATTTACAGGTTAACTTTTGTTCTTAAAAGAATTGAAAAATAAACAAGATACCTGCAGACATGGATTTACATTCTAAGGGCCAAGGATCAGAAGAAGAAAAAAGAAAAAGCTTTGAGTAATTAATCATATGAGAGTTAAAAGGCACAGAGAGAGAAAAAAAAAAGGAATGGAAAATGTAAACAGGGAGGAAATGGGAAGAATGCTACACTGAGAGGATTACCATCAATGCCAAAACAAAATGTGTATGTGCATGCTAAACGGTAAATTTGCTTGGTAAACTTTGACCCAACTTAACAACATTTTTTTTTAAATCAATAATAGAGAAGAAAGAGATGGTGTGGTGGAGGATGAGGAGTGGTACTTTTGACCTGGAAAAGCCTCTATGAACTATGTGATCTGAAGCCTGAGTGACTTCTGCGGCAAGCATTTTGGGCAGAGGGTTACAACTCCTAGTTTATTAGGGGCGTTTTGGATGAACAGGTCAGTAAGACTGAAACACTGTTACCATAGGAGGTCGGCAGGAGATGGGTTAATAAAATCCTTGTAAACCAAGGGGGGAAGCCTGAATCTTGTTCTCATTTAATAGGGAGCCATAATGATTTAAACTATCACACTAAATATAGCATGAAGATGGATTTTAGGGCAGCAAGAATGATAGGGAAAATCATAAATGCTGCTGTACATGAACAAGAAAAATTGTATGCAGTCCAGAAAGCATCGCATTATAAAGAAACACTCTGGAATCTTGCAAAATAGTATGCCTGACATTTCTAAAGGAAGTGTCTAGAAATTAGATTAATGTTTCTCTGATTTTTATGATGCTTGCAAAAGACAGTGAATCCAATTCAGACACTTCAGCTGGTGCTATGCTACAATTGTCCAGCTTAGCTCGCTCAGAAAGCACAGTAATGCAAATCCTGTAAGATTAGTTTTAGTACTATTCAAACTGACAACTGAGGGGTGAAAAAACAGATAAAAGCGTTATTGTTCTAAAGATACCAGGAATCACCTTCTAACCCAGAACGCAGTCCACTCGTTAACTTCACATTTCAAAAGTCCCGCAAAAACAACGTTCCGCCCAGCTAGAAGCCTAATACGTAAGCCCCTCACACGAACGATGGGCATCTGGTAGCAGAATCGTAATGATCCAAATAACCCAATGTAAGCAAGTTTGGCTTACCACCTGCTTCTTCCCCATTCTGTAGAGCGAGGACGCAGGACCGCCGCAGCCCCTTGCCCGGCCCCGCCGCTTACTCCCCGGCCAGCCGGCGGCGCAGGCGCACTCGCGTCATCGGGCCGCACAGCGGCGCAGGCAGCGCCCTCCCCGAAGCCTCTCGGGGGTCGGGTAGCGATGGAGTACTAACTTCATCACCAGCAGCACCAGGCCTCATCCTTCCATTCCGCCCCGGCGGGACAAAAGACGTGGAGGGCAGGGCTGGCGTGCCCGGGAGGGGAGGCAGCGGACACAGGGGGCGATCAGTTTCCCGTGATTTCGCGAGCGGGTGTGGTGATGTTTGGGGAACGTGAAAGCAGACCCTGTTGCTGAGCCTCCGCTGGCCTGGAGCTCGGGCCGGCTGGAAGGCCTGTCGTCATGACAACGGCGCGCTTTCCCCTTCGCTCTAGGAATTGGGGGGCGCTGCTTCCTCATAATGAACTTTCCGGCCCCCACCCCGATCCTCACGGTGCCAGAAAGGCAAAAGGACGGAGCTCACGGACAGAGCTCTGCCTTTCCTGCTCAGCTGGCCTGAGCAGTTGCTCCATTAAAATCCCCACGCTCCCCGCCATCCCCCCCAAATACCAGGGGCCGCCGTCCCTCCCGCTCACCCGGTGGTTCTCCTGCAGCCGAGGAGATTCGGGTCTCATCGTGCTCCCTTCCGGGCTCCTTGGACGCCAGCACGGCGGCCCCTGTCGGGCTCCCGGCGACTCCGGCCTCCGGGAGCTGCGGGAGGCGGGGGCTTGGCCGCCTCACTAGGCCGCCGCCCCCAGGCCCCGGGCTCCGCCCGTCTCGGCCGAGCGGCCCTGCCGTTCCGGTTCCCAGGAGAAGCCAGAGTTCGAGTTAGCCTCCTTAGGGACCGAGACTTCAACCCCCAGGCCCAGCATCTCTGCAGGGTGTGTGTACTGATTGGCACAATTCTCACCATTTCTCCAGTTACTTACTCTAGCCTACAATTGTCTGTATGAACTTTGTGCATCCTTTTTGCTTTCTCAACGCACTACCAAAAAATCATATCCAAATTCACTTTAATGTAATTGAAATGTTATTTTCCACTTAAATTTTTCCAAGGTTTTGCTGTAGAAAGAGATGGGAGTGGAGGGATGGTAGATGTATGGAGAAAGGTGACAATGATCATAAAGGCTTCGTCCCACTAAGAAAGCCGAAGAAATGAGACCTGTGGAGTAACATCTCCATCTGGTGGTTTTCTTGTATACAGGTCTATTGGACCAATTACGGTTGGTTCGCTTGATTTAACTTGTCAATTATTTCATCTTCCTTGGGTTCACAATCAACACCATTGGTACCAACAGTCAAACTAAAAGACACATTGCATTAGGAATATCTGCTGTCCTCTCTAAAATGCTAAAGAGCAACGATGCCAGTTTAAAGACTAGGTTATACCTGATCCAATCCAGGGTCTTTTAAATCTGAAAAGTCAGACAATAAATAAGGGTGACATAAGAACAACTTATGCCTTTGAGTTATAGTATTTGAAATGAATACTGAATATGGGCTGCCAAAACCCCCAAATATGCCTTTGAGATAGTGCAACCAGAATGCTCCTAAGAGGCAAGGATGGTGAGACCCTGTCTCACATACTTGAGGTATGTTGTGGCGGGGCAGGGGAGGGGGTGTGCAGAAACCCATGAAGCTGAGAAAGTGGGTCAGTGAAGGGTTGACACAGTGACTGTAACAGGGCATGACAGTTTGTGAGGATGGTCTAGAAGAGCACAAGCTTCTGTGGTTAACAGCATCGCTATGAGCAGCAGTAGACTTGATGGCACCTAACAATAACAACTTTAGATACAAACGGATCTAGCTTTTAGGGTAATTCATGCTTATGACAACTCTGATCAAAAGAATATGTTTTCCTTGTAAATTTTGCAAATAATGAGAACAGCAGGTTGCTGAAGTTTTGATGTTAGATATGAAATGTTTTAAACTTCTCTTGCTGAGTTAGTCAAACAGACACTTTTTTAAAAAAACATGAGGCAACAAACACATTTTCAAAGACAAGTTTTATATAATGAAACATTTATGCAATTAAACACTGCTTATTTAGGAGAAGTTCTTTTTATATCTGAATCCTACAAAAACTATGTGAAGCCAAGGAAAAGTCTTCATATTTAGTGATTCAATGTTTTCACATTGATGTACCTACTATTTTTGCATAAAAAGTCTTGTTATATGCCATCAAGTCACCTGTGACTCACAGCGACCTGATATATAACAGCCCTACACCCTGCTCTATCCCGTGCCAATCTTATTGTCTCTGACACACCTACCCCCCATTACCCCAGTGACTGAATCAATCCATCTCGTCGAGGGTCTTCCTCTCCTATGCTATCCTTCCACCCTCCCAAGCATAATGTCCCTCTCCAAGGACTGGTCCCTCCTTGCAACATGTCCAAAGTATGTCAGACAAAACTTCAGAATCCTTGCCCTCTCCAGGATGAACCTGTTTGTTCTCTTAGTAGTTCATCGTATATTCAATACTCTTTAACACCATAGCTCGAAGGCATCAATTCTCCTTTTACATCCCTAGTCAACTTTCGGGTGCACAGCAAGTGATTGCAAGGACCATGGCCTGTATCCGGTGCACCTTAGTCTCCAGACTGACATCCTTGCTCCCCAGTACCTCGGAGAGGTCTCTGACAGCAGACTTTCCCAATACAATTTGTCTTTTAATTTCCTGGCTTCTGGTGCCAGGAGTGTTGATTGTGGAGCCAAGCAAATGGAAGCTGTTTACAATCTCAATCTCTTCACTATCCATCATGAAGCTGCAAATTGGCCTAGTGGTGAGAATCTTATTGCAATTCAATCCATATTGATTGCTGCAGTCTTTGACTTTCTGCACTTCAGGTCCTCCTCAATTTCAGCAAACAGGGTTATGTCAGTTACATAATACAGATTGTTGATGAGTCTTCCTTCAATCCTGATGCCACATTTCTCCTCATAGAGCCCGGCCTCCCAGATAATCTGTTCTGCATATAGGCTCGAGTTGCAGTACTTAAGGATGCTTTGGGCAGAGTATTAAACGATACAGGAAGTATTAAAATAATATGGAAAGAGTATACAGAGTCATTGAATGAAAAGGGATTGGCAGACACAGAAGAATTTCATGAAACAACATATGAGCAAGAGCTTATGGTGATGAAGGAAGAAGTTTAAGCTGCTCTGAAAGAATTGGCAAAAACAAGGCTCCAGGAATTGACAGTATACCAACTGGCGTATTTCAACAAAGAGATGCTGCCCTAGATGTGCTCACCAAGTTGTGCCAAGAAATCTGGAGGACAATCACTTGGCCAACTGACTGAAAGATATTTATATTTGTTCCCATTCCAAAGAAAGGTGACCTGACAGAGTGTGGAAATTCGATCAATATCATTAATATCACATGCAAGCAAGATTCTCCTGAAGATTATCCCAAAATGACTGGAACAGCACATCAACAGAGAACTGCCAGAAGTGCAGGCTGGCTTTAGAAGAGGCCATAGTATTAGGGATACTGTAGCTAATGTTAGATGAATCTTGGCTTGAAAACAGGGAGTAACAGAGGAATGTCTGTTTCATTGACTATGGAAAGGTATTTGTGTGGAGAAGAACGGGTATCCCAGAACACTTGATCGTGCTTATGTGTAACCTATACTTGGACCAAGAAGCAGTTGTCAGAAATGAGCAAGGGAACACTTCATGGTTCAAAATTGAGAAGGGTGTATGGCAAGGATTTATAAAAAATATAGGAAAAGTAATTTCTCAAAAGGCAATCCATATAACCATTCAATACACATTTATTCTCTAGTAACATGAATTCATAAATTACAGCACTTTGAAATTGCATCCAGTAAAATGGGTCAAACAGTATGACTTTCTGTACTGCAGTACCAAAGGACTGTCGCATTAAGGAGGAGGTCTTCCTAAGACTCAGTCTCAGAGGAAATCCAGGCTGCTGGGACCCACTGAGGCTCTTCCTGAGCCTGCCTTACTGCTGACAATAACTGGACACATGCATCTTGCAAGTTGTCATTCACAATCACGTCATCAAAATACTGGCCAAACTGAGTCTCCATTTTTTGGGCTAACTCCTGCATTTCCTGTAGATCTTCATCCTTGAGCAGAAATAGAAAAGTTTCCATCAAAACCAAACTCACTGTCCCAGGGCACACAGCACAGGTTTAGTGAGATAAGTAGAATTATTACAGTTTCTTAAGCTGTCACATTTGGCTGGGAAGCTATAAACAAATAGGTCATTTACCTAAAATGGTTTTATTATCAAAATACTAAAAACTATCAAATTAATACAACATAATCCAATGAAAGGGGCACGCTGGTGGCCTGGTGGTAAAAAGCTGTGCTATAACGCCAAAGGCCCGTGGTTTGAATCCACCAGCTGCTGCACAGAAGGAAGGGAAATCTCCTCTCTAAAAATCTGTTGGAGGGTCAGCTATGGGTCACTTCTGACTTGATAGCACTCAACAACAATCCAATGAAATATAAATAAAACTTCTAGGTAAAATGTAAATGTACGTTAATCTGATAATGATGACATTTTAACAGATACAAGAAAATGACCACTCTATAAGAATGGTATTTCAATTTATTATTGTTTTCTTATTTGTCTGTGACAAAGTAGTATTAGTTGTTGTCAATGCAATTTTGAACACAAATTCAGACACAGTGAAATCTTGCAACAATACTCCTTTATAAGGCAGCCATACACATGATCTGGGAATAATTTATTAATTTGTATAGATAACCATCAAAATGAGAATACAGTCTTAACTGTCTAATACAGATAGAATGTAACTATGAATGACACTGAACTAAATACAGTCTGGAGAATCAGGACTTATGAAAGAGTGGTTTAAAAAACTGTAAGACAAAGTAACGATAGGTCAAACTCAAACTCATTAAGTCAGACCAACTCATAGCTAGCTGGTTTTCACAAGACTATATGTAGGAAACTCCCCATCTCTCTCCCTCTGAGCAGCTGGTAGATTCAACTTGGCAGGGGCAGGTTGTGAATTAGCAGCACAACTCCCTACTGACTGCCAGCAGAGCTCCCTATTGAGAAGTGAAACTCAAAAAGTCATTGTCACTGGTCAGAACTGCCCACCCTCCTCATAACTGACCCTCCAACAGGTTTTGAGAGGCTGTGAGCCTCAAGGGAGGGCAGGGAGTGCCCATCTTTCTCCAGAGGAGCTGTTTGTGGATTTGAACCCAGGAAGGTACCCACACCTTTGAGTTAGCAAAGCACTCCCCCAGTAGACCACCAGAGCTCCATTATTGAGAGGTTAAGTAAAACAAAATTTGATACTACATGCAAAGTATATAAGCTACAGAATGTTTAAAGTTAACTGCTTTAAAATGAAGCTTCTTAAAATGCAAATTTCAGACTTTTACCCCCTTAATAACCTGTGTAAAAGGCCCAGACTTTTGCAAACTGGCTTTGGGAACTTTTTTATGGAGCTTGAATCACAGAAAAAAAAATGAGAGAGAGAGAGTGAATGAGGAATCATAGCATGTTAAACTTTGTTTGAACACCTGTAAAAGATTTTACAGGTAAAAACATAAGATCAAAGGATACTATGTTTTAGCAACTTTACACTATTTTAACATAGGAATCTGTGGACACAATGTTGTGATTTTTTTTTTCTAGAAGTAAAATCAACAACTTTATTTTACCTTGAAATTCATCTCCACAAAGTAGTCTGTAATGATCTTGGCATTTTTCCGAGACTGCCTCATACAATTCAAATTAGATGGCTTTATAAATATGACATAGGGCTTCAATTCTTGGGTTCGAGCCATTTGGATACCCTATACAGAAAAATTAAAAGCACATTTTAAAACAAAAGTCCAAATTTCCTACATGACTGCTTTCAAAAAGACCACAAATTAGGACTCATTTTTAGATAGGTTATATTTTCATCTGCCTCCAAATTCTTAACTCTTAAAAAACAAAGATTTTCATAATCAAGAGGTAGTGCTCTACAATGAAAAAACAAAATTAAAATTTGAACTCTTCTGCTGATTAGGTATGGCATTCTTATTAAAACCCAAGAGTAGAATTCTATACATGACCTCATGGGGCAAAGATAAAGATTTTTTTTCTACATGGACTAGCTCTGTTTTACCCTCATTGTTCTTTATTTCTTTCTTTCTTTTATTCCCTCATATTGGTTAAAACAGCCATTTTCACATTGACCATCAGCTTTGACCCAAACCAGAGTACCTCTCTCTTCCCTTGATTCTCTTTAGCATGCATTAAGGAGAGCACAAAGAAAATAGAAAGATCACAAAAATTTGGCCTACACATTCTATAGTCCTTATCCTGCTGAACTTTTATTCCATTTACACATATGGTATCAGATGATAGTGATAGACAGGGCATGAGAACCTTGCCGTTTTGTGTAAAACAATGTCTTACTTCCTCCATAAGAAGTCACTTGGAAGTCTTAGTGATCAAGGTAAAAGTAAGAAACACTCTAACTTTATGCATTCCCACTCTATTCTAGTTTTATATCTGAGAAATGAGACTTCTTTTCCTAACTGAAGGTAAGCCAATAACAACTTGACTCTTCAGATAAAATCATGACCCCTAGACATGGGATGTAACCGTCTTCCTAAAAGATTAACAATAAAGTATAACTGTCTAAACTATAACCCACAGTAGGTGGAGAAAATGGGGGCCATGAATTTGTGCCTTTAAAGAGACAGGAAATACTCCAGAACAAACCCACCTGAGGCTCTAAGTCCATGACACAGACCTTTCCTTCCTCAAGAACTGCTTGAACAGCATCCACACTAGTGCCATACAAATGACCTTTGTACTCACCATACTCCAGCATCCTGCAAGAATGGGATAAAGAAGTAAGGGTTGTTCCAATAAGTAAAGTACTTCTAGTAGGGCTCTAGTTGGCCTACTGGTAAGAAACAGAACTGCGATCTCATAGGCATGTGGTTCAAATCCACCTCTATTTCTAGAGTTTCTAACACTATTTCTAGTGACAACATAATAGATGCTAATAATAGAATAGAAGTGTGTTGTTGGTAGGTGCCATCGAGTCAACTAAGACTTCTAATGTAAGAACACTGTTGGATAATTGGCTCAGAAAATGAGTCACTCGGGCTGGAAGGCCCTCAAAATGCCAGCAGGAGGCTAGGTGACTCTTCAAAGTGGTGGCTATGTACCAGCGAGTTTTCAGAGACAGTAAATCATATAGAAGGATATTGCTCAACTTCTTCCTATAGAGAAACTGGTAGGTTAGTACCACGCACCTTTGGATTAGCAGTGCAGTTCCTTACCACTAAGCCACTAGGTCTTCTCCTCAAAGTAGAGTCTAGCATAATGACATGGATAGATGAAAGCTTTCACCCAGCGGTCCTTCATTTGCTGATGTGGCAAAACTTAAAGTGAGGAAACATTAATAACCAGAACATGGAATGTATAAAATATGACTAAGAAAACTGGAAGTTCTCAAAAAAATGAACAAAAATTGACATCCTAGTAATTAATGACTTGAAATGGATGGATACTGACCATTGTTAATTAGGAAATTCTATGAGCTCCTGTGTCAGGAATGACATATTGAAGAGGAATGACGTCACATTCATCATAAAAAAGGACATTCCTATCCCGAAGTACAGTGCTGTCAGTGGCAAAATACTATCCACACACATACCAGGAAGACTTGTTAATACAACTGTTATTCCAATATACCCACCAACCACTAAAGACAAAGATGACGAGATCGAGGATTTCTACCAACTTTTGCAGTCTGAAATTGATAGAACATGAAACCAGGATGCATTAATAATAATTGCTGACAGGAATGCAAAAGTTTGAAACAGAAGAGGGGATGGTAGTTGGAAAATATTGCCTCAGTGACAGAAATCAAGGGATCAAATGGGGATGAAATTATGGAATTTTGTGCAATCAAATTCATTATTCATTACAATTACTTTTTAAAACATATCCAATATAAATTGTGGCTATACACATAGATCTCCACTGATGACCTCTACAAGAATCAGATTGACTGCAGTTGTGAAAAGAGACATTGGAGAAACACAGTATCAGCAGTCAAAGTAAGGTGATGACTGTGGAACAGACCATCAACTACTCATAAGCAAATTCAAGTTGAAGGTGAAGAGGACTAAAGCAAGTCCATGAGAACCAAACCACAACCTTGAGTCCATCCCAACAGAATTAAAAAACATTCAAGGAATATATTTGATGCATTGAACACTAATGATCGAAGGGCATACTAGTTGTGGGCGGACATCATCTATGAAGAAAGCAAAATGTTACAAAGACAAAGCAGAAAGAAGAAACCAAAATGGAGGTCAGGGAGACTCTGAAATATGCACTGGAATAAAGAGTAACCCAGACAAGGGGAAAGGATGCTGAAGTTAGAGAGCTGAACAGCTTCCAAAGGACAGCTCGAGAAGATAGAGCAAAGTATTACAATGAAAGGTGCAAAGAGCTGGAGTCAGAAGACAAAAAGGGAAGAACTCACTTGGAATTTCTC